AAAGAAAGTCAGAACAACAAGAAATATACATGTATATCCTGTTTTTGGCCATCCGAAAGAATTTTAAAAATTCTATAAAAATTTTTTATGTTTGAAATGCAACCGTGGACGCCAGCTGGCAGCGAAACTTGCAAATTCCTGCAAATTTGCGTTCGTGCAGAAATTTGCAAGTTTCTCAACATGAGAGAGAATTTGAGAGAATTTTTTCTTACTCTCTGATATTTTGAGTGTTGGATAATTCTTGCTGGATTTTCGACGAACAAACCTATAAGCACTGATATATATTGGCAAATTATATTCTGACATATGTATCAAGATATAAACTTTATCCTGTGGAGACGGGCAGTAAAGAGTGGCTGACAGTCGGGTCTACGTAACCGGAATGACCTCAATTTATATCTGGCCAAGAACTGTCACTCCAGCAGCACTCCCTAAAACCCTTTGGGGAACTTGTATCCTGCTACAACAACAACAACAACACTGGCTGATTTTTGTTAATAGCCACAACATCTTTATTGTGGCGTCTCTACGTTTACGTATTGCCGTAAATTGTATGACACAAAATCCCAGAGAATTTTACTAAAGGATAATGGCGCACAGATTTGAAGAACCAATCATTTAAATTTTAACCAATGTGATATGATATTTGCACTTTCCAAAGTGATCAAGCTGCTGACCCCCCAAATAAGGTCTGACTTCCTGGACGCATCAAAGTGGTATCTGATGGTTATCAATAGCCGTAAACCCATTGTTGCTAATTTATTCCCTTATTCAACCTACTATGTACTATCGAGTGCAACTGATTCGCCGCTATTTGAACTTAACAGGGTGTTATTGTTAATTCCATACATGGAATAGATCCATAGTATAGTTTCAGGCAGGCTCATCCCAAACTATTTATTTGTCAACTTTATTGTGGCTCATTAGTATTTATTTCAATAGTGTTATTGAGCTTCTCATTGAGATTTTTATTTAAGTCACTAAGGTCTTGCAATAATTTAGCTAATTTTTTTTTTTTAAATAGATGTTAGCTTCAACTTTCGACTGCTTTCATGCCAGAAAAGATACACAAATAGTTAACATATATAAAAGTGCATACACTCAACCCCTCTTGCTGTTTCTGCTTTATAGCATTCTTTCGGCAAAGCGACATACTTGTTTAAATTTTTAGCTTTCAACAAATCTACAACTGTATGTTGGGCTTATCATAGGTACCTCCCGCAGTAATGCAGTCCAATCTCCACGGAGCTCGTTAAGCTCAACGGATTAACTCATGCCTTAATCACTGCCCTGAATGCACGCACTTCAGTACCAATTGGCAATGTGTGGTGGACACACTTACCACCTTGGTAAGGCCGAGCCCTACCTAAACCTCTGATGGTCTTTGGACCACGACATGCGGTTGGAATACAACTGCACATTGAACCCGGGCGGGTTCTACCCGCATTTAGGTATTAAGACAGAGCCGCTGCGATACTCCCCGAAGGAGCCGTACCTCATTGCACAGACCGGTGTAATGCTCGCCAGCCAGACTTGCTCGACCAACTCGACTCACCTGAATTACTAAACTTACCAGACTGCACATGTTCCAACACATTTGCCCATTCTCCCACCTTCCTGTGCTGTCTCCCTAACCAGAGGACAACTCTCGTGTTGGACTCCCTAACCAGAGCCAACTTCGACATAATTCAATTCATGGTCAATCAAATTTCTTTGCGTTAATTCATGTGGCACCCAAACATCGAGCTTCTTTGAAGAGCATCGGCATCTTTGACATCAAAAATTTTCAGTCACAGCATTCTCACAGTACACTTCACAAATTTCTCGGCATGTTTTTCTCAGATATTTTTCTCATTTTCGAATCAATATAACTTAATTAAAAATTTAGCTTGAAATGTTACCTTTCAAACGCATTACATTAGTGTTGCCAGATGCACATATGAGCATCAACACCACATAGGGACAAAAATGCCGCACAAACTGCCAACACCTAGTGCGCCTCTTGTTTTCACTAGCGGTAAAGTTCGGGTAGCCATCGGGAAGGCGAAAGCATCCAAAGCCATCGGGTCTGGCGGAATTTGCATACTGATGCTGGCAAATTTTGGTCCAGCAGGAGTAGACTACCTTACCTGTCCATAGCCACTCTCATCACTCCGGACACCTGGAAAATGGGGGAGGTGGTCTCACTGCTAAAACCGGGGAAACCGTCCAACAAGAGAGTTTTATCGTCCGATAACTCTCCTTTCTCCGGTAGCGAAAACACTTGAGGCTCTTCTGCGTCCGCACTATACGAACCACCTGACCCCAGCGAGGCATCAGCATGTGTTCCGTAAACTGCACAGTATTTACAACAACAGCACTTAACGCCATAAACACCCAAATAACACGTGGCCTTAACCTAAATCGCCCCTTGAGAGGACATAGTAGCACGGCGACAGAGTCGAAATTTCCTTCGGCGACCATGCCTCGTCGGACCCGGAGTGATGCGCGAGCTATTTTAGCCGGCAGTTCATACTGCATCCTCCGGTGGACAAAGCCAACACAAACTGCCAACAACCTGTGCCCCCTTTGCTTTCACTTGCGGTGAAGTTCAGGTGGCCATCGGGAAGGCGAAAGCCTCCAAAGCCATGGGTCCCGACGGAATATGCATGCTGATGCTGAAAAATTTGGGTCCTGCGGGGGTAGCGTACCTAACGGAGGTCCTCAAC